GAGCCGCCCAGCAGGGCTGTGGGGAGCAGCCCCGAACTTAAAAGGCCAGCGCCCTGCCCCAGCCTGTGAAATGGCAGGGGGAGCCGGGAGCTGGAGTGCTGGTTCTGCCCGGCGTGGGCTGCTCCGGGAGGAGAGTGGGGGCCAGTGGTTAGAGCTGGTGGGGGCTCACACCTCCCCCGGCCCAGCACTGACTGCCCCCCAGCTGGGGGTGAGCTGCTGGCAGGTTGGTATCCAGGGCGGTGCCGGCACCAGCTTCTCTCCAGGTGCCCAGTTCCCCCTGCCCTCGGCCATGGGCTGGGAGCCCCCAGCCGGCTTTGTTCCCAGAGGGCAGGGCTGACGGGGGAGGGGCAGCCGGGTGCTTAGCCAGGTATGTGCTGGGTTTGCTCCACAGGCCAGGACCTGGCCCCGGGCTCAGCCAGCCCCTGCCCACAGCTGCAACAGCCGCCTTGCTCTAGGGCAGCGCCCGTCATGCTACTCGGCACTGAGGGCTCGCCTGGCCACAAGCAGCCCCCCCCCACCCCACTCTCCTCCCGGAGCCAGGGAGAGAACCCAGGAGTCCTGGCTACCGGCCCCTCTCTGCCCACTACACCCCACTGCCCTCTCAGAGCACTGGAGAACCCAGGAGTCCTGGCTGCCATGTATTTGGGGGGGAGGGGGTTGCAGAATTGGAAGATGTGCTTTGAAGACTCCCAGCTGAAGCAAGTGCGCTGTCTGACGCGCCTCCCCCCTTTCCAGGCATCCAACCTGGGAGGTGTTGACTCGCCAAACAGAGCCAGGGCAGGAGCCAGCAGCAGGAGGGAGCACAAAGGAGGGGGTCTGGGAGCAGCCAAGCCCTGCAGTCCCCAGTCACTCCCATGCTCCGCTACTGGGGGGAGGCCCAGAGCTGGGCCTCAGGAGGCCTGGGTTCTCTTCCAGCTCTGGGAGGACAGTGCAGTCTAGTGGTTAGAGCTGGGCCTCAGGAGGCCTGGATTCTCTTGCCAGTTCTGGGAAGGCAGTGGGCTGGAGTGGTTAGAGCAAGGAGCTGGGAGTCAGGACTCCTGGATTCTCTTCCAGCTCTAGAGGGAGGAGTGGGCTCTAGAGGTTAAAGCCAGGCAGGGGCGGGGAGAGTTGGGGATAGAACAAGGAATCCCAGCCCCCTCCTATCTGCCCCCAGAGCCAGGAGTAGAACCTAGGAGTCCTGACTCCCAGCCCCACCAGTGTCTAGCCACTACGCGGTGATTTATCAGCCCCCTCCGCACCCCCCAAAACCAGCCGTGGGGCCAGTCCCTCTGTGCTCCGTGGGGAGATGGTGCCAGTTACAAGCCAGCCACCCCCTCCAGCGGTGGGAAGGGAAACTACTGGCCCCAGGGCCCTCCCCTCCCCTCCAGGCAAGGGAGCTCTGGGAGGTCAGGGGTCAGAGGGGTGGGCACTGAGGGTGATTTATCAGCCCCCTCCGCACCCCCCAAAACCAGCCGTGGGGCCAGTCCCTCTGTGCTCCGTGGGGAGATGGTGCCAGTTACAAGCCAGCCACCCCCTCCAGCGGTGGGAAGGGAAACTACTGGCCCCAGGGCCCTCCCCTCCCCTCCAGGCAAGGGAGCTCTGGGAGGTCAGGGGTCAGAGGGGTGGGCACTGAGGTATTTAAACACCAGCCAGGGGCAGTGGGGCGTCTTTGAGCTGTTCCTGGACTAGTGCTGGAGGTTCCCGGTGTCTGTTCACCAGCCGGCTCCTTCCCAGGCCGTGGCTCCTCTCGCCTGCCAGGGGAAGCCTGGGGGGTAGATTTGCCACCCGGCCAGCCTCTGACTGCTGAGATCCAGCAGCACCAGGTAAGGTCGGCGCAAAGCTCCTCACAAATGGGAGGCCCCCGTCGGGGTGGGGGGTGGGGCATGGGAGCAGGAGGTGGGTTTGAGGGGAGCAACCATGGACTGGGATCTGCACAAACATCCCCCCCTTTCCCCATGGGGAGTTCGGCAGACCTGGCCCCATGCT